TCCCTTGCCCAAGACCATACAGGTAAGGCAGAGGCAGAGCCACAGTGCAACCCAGTTCTGCCTCACTCCAGCATTCATTGCCTGAACCAGTTGCCAAGCTGCTATCCATCAGTATTTGCTGGAAGAATGAATTTGTGAAGCAGGTCTTTGGTATATTAGGAAGAATTCCACAATATCCAATCCTTTCTCTTAAAAACCTCTTAAAATAAACATATTTGCCCCTGGTTCAAGGTTAAATTCTGGGTCCTCCAAGAAACATTTAGAAAGAGCTTTCCTGCCCATTTTTGGTAGCAAAAATTCCCAGATCTCCACTCCCACACAGCACATTTATGGGGATGTGTCCCAAAGACAAGCGGGTATTTTGTAGTCTTTTCTAGGAAGTAGCCTTAAAACTGGGTGAGGTCCTATTTCCTGTCCCTCCCCTCCACTGCCCAGTGCTCTGAACAAACGATTCCATAGTCTTACTTCTTTATATTTGTTCTTGATTTTTCTGAGACCTTCCTTTTTGTCTGGCAATGTCACTGGCCAACTCCTTCCATCTATCACTTCTGAATCCTTTAAGGTGCTGAGATAGCTGATCCCCAGCAAGAAACTTGATCCATATGCCTTCCCTTTCCTTGAATCTTGGAGGGGCTGTGCTGCCTTCAGCACTGGTGAAGTTTTGCCAAGGTCTGAGCTGTCAGTTTCCAGAGATCAGAGGCCAAGCATTTATGTATGTGTGTACACTGAGCACAAAGAATCAATTAATCGATAAGCACTCACAAAGCCCTGAAGACTTGTGGTTGGCCAAGGTCTAGAGACTTTGAGAAGTGTATGGCCAAAAAGGGCCTTAAAGAAAATAATAATAACAATAAAATAATAATAATAATCTATCCTCAAAGCCATTCTTCATCCTTCCTCTAAGAGGCAGGTGACCTGCAATTTAGGTTTCCCAGGCTCCCTTGAGAGATAACTTCCTGCTGGGGTCGGACAGTGGGAAGCACTAGAGGGAGACTAGAGGGTGGGACAATGGAAAGGCCAGGGTATTTCTTCTCCCACAGCAGTGTCTTGGCAAAGGCTGTGTCTTGTCTACAGCTCCAGCTCCTGCTGTGGTTCCAGGTTCTGCCAGACTCTGGGCTCCAGTAACACCACCGTTTCCCTCTCTTCTTCCTGCTCAGTGGTGGATGACTTCTTGCTGCCTAATCTGTAGGTCACATCACTGTCCTCTATTTGACTTCTCAGCCTCTCCATCACTTCTGTATTAAGTTCCCTTTGCTTTAAAGACTCACAGTGTTTTTTGCCTTCCCTATTGGAACTTGACTGATAGAAGAGTTAAAACTTACACAGTGCTGGGGCACCTGGGTAGCTCAGTCAGTTGGGCATTTGACTCAGATCATGATCTTGAGGTTTGTGAGTTCAAGCTCTGCATGGAGCTCTCTGCTGTCAGCACAGGGCCCACTTCAGATCCTCTATCTCCCTCATTCTCTGCCCCTCCTCTGCTCATGCTCGTGCGCTGTCTCTCTCTCTCTCTCTCAAAAATAATAAACATTAAAAAAAAGAAAACTTACAAATACGTGCCAGTGTTCTAAGTGTATTATGTAAGATAACTTTCTCAATTCTACCATCTGAGGAATGATTACAGTCTACAGATCACATTTACATCACAAAACTGAGGCACAAAGAGTTTGATCTACCCTAGTAACATCCCAAATCTGGATGCATATCAAAAATTTGCTCAGGAAGCAAATTAAAAATAGAGGAGATGATGGATGCCATCCTATACCTACTGAATCAGACTCGTTGGTCCATGGGGCCCAGGAATCTGGATATTTAAAAGATCCCCAGGTGATTCAGATGCTGCTAACCCAGCAGGCCTCCATGAACTGGTATTCAGGAAACCCTGACCTTGTTCTGGTGATGAAGACACCTAGATCCAGATCAGGAAGGTGGCCTGCCCCAGCTGCACAGCAAGCTCTCTGGCAGACAAAAACACCGCCAAGGGCAGCAGTTTCTGCTATCGTCACTGCCTTCTCCTTCAAGGTCACATGGCTGGTTCTGACGTTTGGACTTGCTTTCCCTAGGAGGCATCTGAAGCCACTTCTTATAAGAACTGTTTTGGAAAATTCAGTGTATAAACAGACATGTACGCAGGATTTCTGACTGGCTGATCAGCGTTTGGGAAAGAAAAAAGGAGGCACTTTAATCCACATAATCTCTTATTTTCAGTCCTTTGTGAACAACTTCAGGGAGTTAGTTAATCCTGCATTCTACCTTCCCCATTCTGACTGAGACTCTGGTTGGGTGAAGAATATATACTTTTTAACAGGAGCCCATGGTGATCAGACAATTTGGAAAAGATTATCAAAATCCAAAAAGCCCACAATCTAAATGTACTTCATAATAACCAACCCCATAAAGGCTGGACTTTTGTCTCCTCTCCGCACACCATTACTATATTCCCAGCACCAACAGCAGTGCCTGGCACTTAGCAGGTGCTTAATAAATATTTGTTGAATGAAATAATAATAGTAATACTTTTTCTTGAATTTTGAAAATATTTTTGGTACAGTTATTCCCTGATCCCCACGATGGACAGGATAGATATCAGAGTCTTCATTTTACAGATGAAACTGAGTTTGGAGAGACTGGGTGCCCTACCAGGTCACACAGCTAATGAGAAGTGTTAGAAGCTCTCTCTAGGAAATTCTCCCTCCCAGCCAGTGGTGATGAGGAGAAACACAAGTGGGAAGACTCACATATGAATGAAGAATAAACTGTCAGAATACAGTTCAAATAACTTGACAAGGGAAGAAATTCTAGCCTTTCACCAGAGGAGGAGATTGGGGGCTCAAAAATTCCAGAGGATACACAAATCTCTCTCTCTCTCTCTCTCTCTCTCTCTATCTCTCTGAACTCAGCACTTTCCTTAGTCATTAGTTCAGGCAGCCCTTGCTTGCCTGCTTTATTGGTAATAGTAACTCCCCCTTTGTCCATATCATCAAATGCTAAATGCTTTGTGCATCTTATTCTACCATCTCTCTCCTGGACGACTGCAGTAGCCTTCCTTAATTCCCCTCCTACCTGTTTTCCCCACTCATGTCAGACTGATCACTTAAAACTGCCTAAATAGGGGTGCCTGGGGGGCTCAGTAGGTTGAATGTCTGACTTTTGATTTTGGCTCAGGTCATGATCTCATGGTTTGTGAGTTTGAGCTCCGCGTCGGGCTCTGCGCTGACCGCATGGAGCCCGCTTGGGATTCTCTCTCTCTCTCTCTCTCTCTCTCTCTCTCTCTCTCTCTCTCCCTCTCCCTCTCTCTCTCTCTCTGCCCTCCCCTGCTTGCACTCTCTCTCTTTCTCAAAACAAAGAAACATTTTAAAATAAAACTTCCTAAATGAATAAACAAATAAAACATAAAACATAAATAAACAAACAAACAAACAGATCACTTTATCTGATTAAATTTCCTAAAGGCCTCTGCACTATGCTCTGTCAAGGTTCTGCCTGGTCTAGTCCCCACCTACCTCTCCATTTATTACATTCAAGAAATACTTATTGAGGGCCTACCATGTGTCAGGTGCTATTTGGGGCATTGAGGATGCAGCATGAAATCAAATAAACAAGGTCCTTTCAAGGAGTTTATAAGAAAAAAAGTAGAGAAGTTAACAAACAAGATAATTAGAGACTACTAAAAGTGCTAAGGTGGAAATAAAGTAACAAGAAAATCTCTAGGGAAGCCAATTTATTGACAGAATGGTCAGGGCAGATGCTCTGAGGAAGCAACACTGAAGCTAAGACTTGAAGGCTGAGAAGGAGTCAGTCATGGAAAAGTTGGGAGAAAGTATTCCAGGCAGAAGGAACAGGCATGTGCCAAGGTCCTGAGGTAAGCAACTTCTACAAATCAGGAACAAAGAAGTCAGTGTGGCCGAAGCAGAATGAATCAGAGAGACAGATGAGGTAACAGCAGAGAAACAGGTGTGCACCAGATCATATAGGAATCTGTAGCCACAGAGAGTAGTCTTTTATCCAGAATAAAAGAAAATCACTGAAAAATTTCAAGCAGAGGAGGAATATTGCCTGATTTATATTTTGTAACAATCCTTCCGGCTGCTGTGTGAAAATGAACTGGGGGCAGGAGAAATGAATGAAGGACAAGAGAGAAGGCTGGTGCTGGGTCCAGACAAGAGATGATGAGCTTGCCTGGGGCCACAAGACAAGATGAAGTAGAGTGGTCAGATTCCTGATAGAGCTTTGGGGTGGAATTGACAAGACTTGATGATAGATTGATTTTGAGGATGAAGGAAAAGAGGAGATGGTGCTATTTATGGAGACAAAATCAAGTGCAGGAGGAATCAAGTTACATCTGGATTGTGAAGTTGGAGCTAGCCAGATGCAGATGTCAAGTTCACCACGGGCTATGGGCAGGGTTGGATATACCAACATGGGTATCTCCGAACAGTCAGCACTTAAATGCACTGGATTAGCCCTGTTGCCCTCTGACGTTTGAAGACTGGGCAGGGAAGGAGGGACTAAGAGAGGTAAAAGGAAAACCAACCATAAGATTGAAGTCCACAAATGAAAGGGTTTCAGAAAAGAGGAAGTGATCAGTTGGGTCAAAGTTGCTGGGAGCTTGAAAGATGTGGTCAGAGATATGTCCATTGAATTTGGCTGCTCGAGTTTGTTGGGAGCATAGGTTTAGCAAGAAATCAACCCAGTAACAATACTGGATTAGACAGAAGAGTAAATTAGAGGTGAGGAAAAATGTATGGAGAATTCTTTTCAAGTTTCCTTCAACAGAGAATGTAGCTGCAGGTGTGTATGTGCAGCCAAGTGACAGTTTGTTTTTCTAGCTCAAATTTACTAGAACCATGTTCTCCAAACTTCAGTCATTGAAGAATAGTCTTTGGGGGTGCCTGGGTGTCTCCGTCACTTGAGCATCTGACTTGATTTTGGCTCAGGTTACCATCCCAGGGTCATGAATTCAAGCTCCACATCGGGCTCCACACTCAGCGTCGATTCTCTCTCTCTCCCTCTGCCCCTCTCCCCCGACTCATGCTCGCTCTCTTTCTAAAATTAAAAAAAAAAAAAATTAAAAATTAAAAATTGTTAAAAAAAAAGAAAAGGAATCATTTTTGTTTTTGCCCCATCCATATCCCAGGGGTACTCTATATGTAAAATTAGTATTAAAATCAACTCACTTTTAATTTAAATTTGCTGGAAATATTTACTTACAAAAAAAAGCAACATTACTCCGTCAAATGGGAAACCAACACCACTTGCCATAAATAGCGAATCAGTTCAATAAAAATAAAACAATGTCACTAGGTTCCAGCTGGAGATTATTGCCTGCTGGGGGCCGAGCCTAGGATCAGCTCTGTTTAAAAAGGGAAATCACTAAGCGTTAGATGTTGAAGACATACGGACATCAAAGTGAAACTTTCTCCTTCAAGGACTGAAAGAGAATTAAAAGGAATTTTGGAGGGGCGGGGGGTGGCCTATGTGATTTAAAACCACCTAATAGTAGGCCTATACTCTGAGAAATACTTCTTAGAACATTTTATTTTATTGAGAAATAACTTACACTTAGTTGAGTGTGCAAATCTTAAATGTGAAGCTTGAATAATTTTTACAAATGTATATACCAGTGTAACCAGCACCCAGCTCAAGCTCTACAATTTCCCAGCAAGCAGGCCAGTGCCAACCTCGAAACATAACAGACAAGGTGTGTGTCTTCATGGGATTTACAGTTTGCTCCCCATGATATCGCTAGCACCTAGCACAGTGCTAGTACATACTAGGTGCTCTCTCTCTTTCTTCCTTTTTGTCTTATCTATGTTTTTGTTTTTTTGGTTTTTTTCCCTATTTTCTACAGAGAGCGTGTGTTATTTGTGAGTTAAATACCAGTCTTATCCAGGACACCTGGCTGGCTCATTTGGTTGAGTGTGCAACTCTTGATCTTGGGGTTGAAAGTTCAAGCCTGATGTTGGGTGCAGAGATTACTTAAAAATAAAATCCTAAAAGAACAAAAACAACCAGTCTTATCCAAACTCCAATTTTCCAGAGTGTCTAATCGAGAACTTATCAAGGAAAACCAAAAAGAACAACATCAGGATCTCCCTGTGGATATAAAACCCTGGACTGAGAAGAGAGAAGTGTCCAAACAGCAGAATCCAGGAGCAGGTCTCCTGATTCCAAGCCTCTCCCTCACCTACTAATCTGTATTTTATAGCCCTCTGCAGTGGTCTTTGCTCTCACACCCTCACACACAGTAGTTAAGGACACCAGAACCCATTTGTGTGCCCTCCTCATTAAAACAGGGACAGCAAGACAAAACATCACCAACAAGTCTTTAAAAATTTAAAGAGCCTGATAAAGTCCTTCATTTGGCATCTGCCACGGAAGGAAATCGCCTCTGGCGTGTGTGTCTGTTGTGTTCCCCCTTTCCCAGACATCTTTTGTACAAACACCCTCCCTAAGGTTTACCTGCAGCTGATTGTAGAAGGGTGTCAGGACCCCTTGCAGTGGAGGATGGGGAAAGCCCTTATTTTCAGACAGTGAAGCTAATGAGTTGATACTCTTCAAGCACGTTGAGGATCAAAGCGTGAGATCTGAAACTTCGGCAATAATACAGCCACCTGCGGGCATGGGTGGGCCCAAGCTGGAGGGCCCTGGAGAGCAGTACCAGGTGCCGTGCACACTGGCTGAGCCTGCCTGTGACAAGACAGGTGTCAGGGCTGACTGGAGAAGGCCAGGTCCCCAAGCTGCATGCAGGAAGAAAGAATTCAGAACAATTGTAATTAAACTAGTTACAGGAATTTGGGGGGTTGGAGAGGGGTGGAAGTAAAGGACAAGGAAGAAAAAAACATTCCCACCAAACCAAATGAACAAATGTTAGAGTTTTAGCTTTAGTTTGCTTCCAAAATGATGCAACCAGTGTCCTTTGTGTCCAAAATGTGCAACCAGAATATCGTGATTAAGGTAAAAATACTTAATTTCTACTTAGAAATTCATTCCCATCTTTACCTCCAAAGATGCAAACACTCTGAAATGGTTTATGTGCTCCTCCCTGAATCTAAAAAATAGTTTCACATAATTGTAATAGACCAACAACTTACTTTTCCCAATAAGTCACATATTTGTAAGAATTGTCCAAACTGATATACCTGAATTTACTCCTTTATCACCTCCAGCACATACATGGACCACATTTTGTTGGTGGCCATGTAATACCAATAGCCAACACTTAACAGCATTCCTCTCTCCCAGAAACGTTTCCAAGTCCTCTCTGCATATTAACCCCTTTAATTCTCACAAGGATCTAAGAGGGCATAGGCATAAATCAAATTTCTCATCATCACACAGCTGGTAAGTTGTCAGGGTATGATTTGGGGCCCAAGTCTGGAGCCAAAATTAGGCTCTTAACCACTACATCATCCAGCCGGCACTTGGGTTGCTTCCCAAGGTTTGATCTTTCAGGCAAGTTGTCACAGTATTGTATCAATTAGCTATTGCTGGGTAACAAACCTTCCCCAAAATGTAGTGGCTTAAAACAATAATAGTTTGCTATTTCTCGGGGCGCCTGGGTGGCGCAGTCGGTTAAGCGTCCGACTTCAGCCAGGTCACCATCTCGCGGTCCGTGAGTTCGAGCCCCGCGTCGGGCTCTGGGCTGATGGCTCAGAGCCTGGAGCCTGTTTCCGATTCTGTGTCTCCCTCTCTCTCTGCCCCTCCCCCGTTCATACTCTGTCTCTCTCTGTCCCAAAAATAAAATAAACGTTGAAAAAAAAATTAAAAAAAAAATAATACTTTGCTATTTCTCATGATTCTGGGGGATGACAAGATTCTTCTGATCTCACCTGGACTCACTTAGTGGCTGCGGTTAACTGAAACAAGCTGCGGTTAACTGGCAGCTTGACTGATTGGCTAATGGTGGCCTCAGTGACATGTCTGGAGCCTCAGCTGGGATTTCTGGCTGTCTCTTTCCAGCTGGACTTCTTCAGAAAATGGTAGCAATGTTCTAAGAGAGTGACAGCAGAAGCTGCAAGGTCTCAGCAATATTGGTTTAGGAAAGTCACAGGGGTGCCTGGGTGGCTCAGTCAGCTGCGTGCCCACCTTCAGCTCAGGTCATGATCTCACTGTTCCCAAGTTCGGGCCCCGCATCAGGCTTTGTGCTGACAGCTCAAACCCTGGAGCTTGTTTCAGATTCTCTCTCTCTCTCTCTCTCTCTCTCTGCCCCTCCTCTGCTTGCACTCTGTTTCTCTCTCTCAAAAATAAATAAACATTAAAAGAAGAAAGAAAGGAAGGAAGGAAGAAAGGAAGAAAGAAAGAGAAAGAGAAAGAAAGTCAAAAGACCAGCTCAGATTCAAAAAGTGGGAAAATAGACCCACCTTTGATGGGAGGGAAAGCAAAGAATTTGTGGTCACCTTGAATCTACTAAAGTAAACATCCTTATATATACCCCTGGTGTATGGGGAGTGTGTGTGTCCCTAAAATGTACCAAGAACTAGAATTTCTGGAACTGGATTTTCTAACTTCATAGTTGTTTTTATTGAGATATGATTCACATACCATAAAACTCACCATTTTAAACTGGTGAATTCAAGAGTTTTTAGGCTGTACAACCATCACTGTTATCTAATTCTGGAACATTTTTATTAACCCCAAAATAAATTCCTAACTCATTGGTAGGAAATTTCCATTCCCCTCCTCCTCAGCCTTTGGAAAGCACCTTTAGATTTAACTATTCTGGACATTTCATGTAAATGGAATCATGCAATATATGGTCTCATTATCTGGCTTCTTAAACTTAGCATAATGTTCTCAAGGTTCATCTGCATTGTAGCATGAATCAGTACTTCATTCCTTTCTATGGCTGAATACTAGTCCATTTACTGACTAACCACATTTTGTTGATCCATTCACCAGTTGATGGACATCCACGTTGTTTCTGCTTCTGAATAATGCTTCTATGAACATTCATGCACAAGATTTTGCACAAAAACACATTTGCAATTCTCTTGGATATATATCTCAGAGTAGAACTGTTGGGTTGTGTGGTAACTCTATGTATAACTTTTTGGGGAACTGCCAAACTGGTTTCCATAGTGGCTGTCCCATTTTACATTTCTCCCAGCAATTCATGAAGTTTCTGATTTCCCTCCATGTCTTTGCCAACATTTGTTATTTTTCATTAAAAAAAAATTATAGCTACAGGTCACCTGGCTGGCTCAACCTCACAACCCCAAGATTAAGAGTCATATGTTCTTCTGACTGAGCCAGCCAGACACCTTCAATCCTCTGTCCATTTTTATTTTTAAAAAGTTTTGAACATTTATTTTTTTAATGATTTTTTTAAATGTTTATTTATTTTCGAGAGAGGGAGAGAGACAGAGTATTAACGGGAGAGGTGCAGAGAGAGAGAGAGGAAGACACAGAATCTGAAATGAGCTCCAGGCTCTGAGCTGTTGGCCCAGAGCCTGATGTGGGGCTGGAACTCATGAGCAGTGAAATCATGACCTGAACCGAAGTCAGACACTTAACTGACTAAGCCACCCAGGCGCCCTGTCATTTATTTATTTTTGAGAGACAGAGAGAGACAGAGTGCAAGCAGTGGAGGGGCAGAGAGAGAGAGGGAGACACAGAATCCGAAGCAAGCTTCAGGCTCTGAGTTGTCAGCACAGAGCCCGACGTGAGGCTTGAACCCATGAACCATGAGATCGTGACCTGCGCCAAGTCAAACGCTTAACCAACTGAGCCACTGAGGCACCTCTCCTTTGTCCATTTTTAAAATGGGTTGTCTTTTTATTGTTGAATTGTAAGAGTTTTTTTTTTTTAATTTTTTTTTCAACGTTTATTTATTTTTGGGACAGAGAGAGACAGAGCATGAACGGGGGAGGGGCAGAGAGAGAGGGAGTCACAGAATCGGAAACAGGCTCCAGGCTCTGAGCCATCAGCCCAGAGCCCGACGCGGGACTCGAACTCACGGACCGCGAGATCGTGACCTGGCTGAAGTCGGACGCTTAACCGACTGCGCCACCCGGGCGCCCCCGTAAGAGTTCTTTATATATTCGTTAATAGACCCTAATCAAATATATGATGTCCAAATATTTTTTCCCATTCTGTGGGTTGTCTTTTCAGTTTCTCAATAGTGTCCTTTAAAAAACACAAGTTTTGGGATACGTGGGTGGCTCAGTTGGTTGAGCGTCCGACTTCGGCTCAGGTCATGATCTCACCGTTGGTGAGTTCGAGCCCCGCGTCAGGCTTTGTGCATACAGCTCAGAGTCTGGAGCCTGTTTCAGACTCTGTGTCTCCCTCTCTCTCTGCTCCTCCCCTGCTCGTGTTCTGTCTCTCTCTTTCTCAAAAATAAATAAACCTTAAAAAAAAAAAACTGAAAAGAAAAAAACCACACAAGTTTTGGGGCACCTGGGTGCTCAGTCAGTTGAGCATCCAATTCTTGATATTTGCTCAGGTCACGATCTCGGGATTGTGGGGTAGAACCCTGCATCAGGCTCAGGGCTGAGCATGTGGCTTCCTTGGGATTCTCACTCTGTGCCCCTCCCGCACATGTGCTCTCTTTCTCTCAAAATAAATACATAAGCATTAAAAAAAAAATAAAACACACAAGTATTTGTTTCGATTTATCTATTTTTTCTTTGGTTGCTCGTGCTTTTAGTGTCATATCTAAGAAATCATTGCCTAATCCCAGGTTATGAAAATTTGTACTTATGTTTTCTTCTAAAAGTTTTACAGTTTTAAATGGTTTTACAGTTTAGCTCTTACATGTAGGTCTTTAATCCATTTCTAGTTCATTCTTATATATGGTATAAGGTAAGAGTCCAGCTTCATTCCTTTGGATATCCACTACCATTTGCTGAAAAGACAATATTCTTTCCCTGTTGGGTAGTTTGGAGATCATTGTTGAAAATCACCTGGCTACTATTACAATATCAAATAGTAAGAATAATACCCAGCATCTTTGCCTTGTTCCTAGTCTGGGAATAGTTTTATTGTTTCACCATTATGTATGTTGTTTGATACGTATGTGTCAGGAACATGACTTTCTCTTTAACTCTGGTTTACTAAAGTTTAATCATAAATGAATATTGAATTTTATTACCTACTTTTTCCTGCAGTTATTGAGATGATCACATTTTTCTCCTTTAACCATACAGTGAGGTGCATGTATTACATTACATAGATTTTCTGTTGTTGAAATGCCTCTGCATTCCTGGGGTAACCAATTGCAATTATTTCCTATTCTGAGTTTCTTTTATAGCTCCCTGTCTCAGCTCATGCTTTGAGGGTCCATGTTGTTTCATGTTGTGGATCTGCATCAAAAGCTCCAGTTTCTTAGTTGGAATGTTCTCCTAGAAGCTTCCGGAAGCTCAGGTTTGCTCGTTAGTGATGTGGTGGAGGTGGCCAAGAGGCTCTAGGGCAGAGCCCAGTGCTTTAGGCTGTGTGCGTATTTGCCACAGAGGAGCCAGATAAAAGCCAGGTGCCGAGCAGGTAGCAGCCTTCCAAAGTCACTACTTTGGTCTTTAAGCAACAGAATTCAAATTCTCTGTCCTTGTCTGTAAAGTTTATTCTGTCTCGTAAACATTTTTCTGGTGAAAAGCAGAACTTTGATCATTTTATGTTTTGTGCACTTCCTAAACGACGGGCAGTACACTCAGTCATTTACACACATTATTAATAATGATGCTAGCTACCACTAACTGGTCCTTCACCCAGTTGTAAGCACTGTGCTAACTGTTCTACAGTAGCGTTTCCTTTAATCCCCTTAACCTCCCTGTGGAGCAGGTATTATCATCTCTCATTTACACATGAGGAAACTGAGGCTGAGAGAGGTTAACTTGCCAGTGGTCATCAGACAGAGAGCCACGGTTCAAAATTAGTTTTGTGTCATCGCAGAGTCTGTGCCCTTAGCCGCTGCTATATGTGCTATGTGTAATCAGCTCTGTCAGCCCGAGCTCCCATGATCGGTGTTAAGTACCAACAGCTCCGTGTGACCAGAGCGTGACCAGGCATCGCCAAGTGTGATTGGCTGGAGTCGTTTGCGGTCGGCTTGGTCTCAATGTCAGGCTGTGACCCACGCTCACATGAGGTGTTCTGCAGTAACGGCCCCCTTAGGGAAATTGTGCTGTGTGCTTTTCTTTCAAGCTTTTAAGAAATAACAGCTTTATTTGTGATGTAACTAACCTACCATACAGTTCCCCAATTGAAAGTGCACAATTCAGGATTTTTTGTACATTCACAGACTTGAACAGCCATCACCATAATCCATCTTAGACTATTTTCATCACCCCTAAAAAGAAGCTCTGTGCCCCTTAGTAGTCCTCATTTCCTCCCAGACTCCTCACCACCAATCTGCTTCCTGTCTCGACAGCCTCGCCTTTTCTGGATATTTCATCTAAATGGAATTGTACAATATGTGGTCTTTACTGACCAGTTTCTTTCACATTAAATAATGTTTTCAAAGATATGGTATATGTTTGTAGCATATACCAGTATTTTATTTCTTTTTATTTTCAAGTAACATTCCAATGTATGGATATACCCCATTTTCTTTTTCCATTCATCATTTGGTGGACATTAGGGTTGTTTCTACTTGTCGACTATTAATAATAATGCTGCTATGAATACTTATACACAGGTTCTAATGTGGGCGTATGTTTTGTGGGGTTTTTAATTTAATTTTTCAGTAGGCTTCACAGCCAGCACAGAGCCCAAAGAGGAGCGTGAATTCACAACCCTAAGGTCGAGACCTGAGCTGAGATCGAGAGTCAGATGCTTAACGAACTGAACCACACAGGCGCCCTGTGCACTTCTCACTTTCTAATGTAATATAATTTACCTTTTATTATGATCATCGTTCTCACATCCTCTTACTCTGCCGTCCCCACCCTTGCCAAATCAGCACAAGGAGGGCTGAGATTTTTGAGTAATTTTTTCCAAAGTCTGGAACAGGCCTGGCACTGTTAGATGTTTAACAGATACTTGTTGAATGAATGATACAGCTGCTAGGTTAGATCAGCCCATCCCAAGCTGCTGTCTTTCCTCCTTTTCTCTCTCCTGATACAAACACATCTTAGGGACACTCTTAGGTTCTTTGCTTTCTGCTCCCCACTTTCACACCAGCTAATTTCCC